TGTAGACATACATACATACATACATACATACATACATACATACATACATACATACATACATACATACGCACATACATACTACATACATACATACATACATACATACATACATACATACATACATACATACATACAGACGCACATACAGACATACATACATACATACATACATACACACATACATACATACATACATACATACATACATACATACATACGCGTTCATTCATACATACATCCATAGGTACATTAACGACGTTACAATACATTACATTACATTTCGTTGCATTGCATTACATTACATTCATACAGTCATACATTCATACATTCATACATACATACATACATACATACATTCCTACATACATACATGCATACATACATACATATATACATACATACGTACATACATACATACATACATCCATACCTGCATTAATTACGTTACATTACACTACATTAATTACATTACATTACATTACATTACATTACATTACATTACATGACATGACATTACATTACATTTCGTTGCATGGCATTACATTACATTACATTCATACATTCATACATTCATACATTCATCCTTACATACTTACATACATTCCTACATACATACATACATACATACATACATACATACATACCTACATACCTACATACCTACATACCTACATACCTACATACATACATACGTACATACACCCATGCAGCCGGCCATCTATCTATTTGAGCATGCATGCATACAATACAGTACAATACCATACCATACAATACAATACAATACATGCACACATACATTACATTACACTACATTGCATTACCATACATTACATTACATTACATTACATTACATTACATTACATTACATGGCACTGCATTGCATTGCATTGCATTGCATTGCATTGCATTGCATTGCATTGCATTGCATTGCATTGCATTGCATACATGCACATGTATGTACGTACATACACATACATACCTCTGTATCTATTTACTGCTCCATTAAGGGAGTTTGGAATCTGCGGCTAAAGTCAAACAGGGTACACGTTCCATAGTTGAAGGGTTTTCGGCAGGCTTCAGTCATCAGGTACTCTGGGTATGTTCGCACCGCCGTTGCGCGTGAGAACAAGTCACAGCCGATACCTCTCCGCCAGCAGATCCCCTATATGATTCCGATATAGACTACGGCTAAGGTGTTGTGGAGCTGTATCCTGGTTATCTACTACATTGGGATTTCAAACAAAAGCATGACTAGTAACTAGTCAGGCCGCAGCTTCATTGGATTCCACAAATCTCTCCACTAGCACCTCCTTTGGGGGCAAGAAGGCCCCACCATCTGGGTTTGAAGGTCTGGCGCTTTTTTCCTGCTGTTCCACTGGGAGATTCCTTTGTGCTTCCGACAGTTGCAAGCCCCCTCCTACTTCCACTTCCCTGGCGAAGCTCCGGCCTCCGATGCCTGACTCCTCCACCGTGTGGCCGAAGGTACAGGGGACATGGATGAACCTCAAAGGCTCTACAACGATCGGGCCAAGAATGGCATGTGAATGCAGGGACGAAGGTTCATCGCAGACAGCCTGGAAAGACGTCTAAATCCTGCAAGCCTCGACACAAGATTGTGCAAGGTCATTGCTTGGAAGAAACGGAAAATGATGCATGAGGTTCCCTTCGCTTGAGCCTTATTACTTAACCCCTTAGCCTTTCACCTCTAAACCCTGATACCAACACCTCAGAAGACTTTAGCCTTTGAGCTTCGAAACTCCATCTGCCTTTTTTGGGTTTGGAGCCCTTAACCCCGATTGTGGTGTAGGCCTCAGGTTTTGGGTTTCGGGTATAGGATATAGGGTTTCGGCTTTACAAACTCTGCGCAAGAACTGAAGACGATATATGCAACAGGACAAGAAGTCACGACCTAAGAGAGCCCACTTTACCTGTTCAAGAAGGAACATACCTCAAATCACCACAAGAAGCCCCCATATAAATGTGCGTATAGATAGATAGATAGATAGGTAGATAGATAGAAAGATAGAAGGATAGATAGGTAGGTAAGTAAGTAGGTAGGCAGGCAGGCAGGCAGGTAGGTAGGTAGGTAGGTAGGTAGGTGGGTAGGTAGGTGGGTAGGTAGATAGCTAGATAGCTTGACAGCTGGACAGCTAGATAATTAGATAGGTAGGTAGATAGATAGATAGGTAGATTCAGGTAGATAGGTCCACACAGGCACCCAAGTCACCGTGCGCTTTTCTGCTGGAGGCTTTCACATTAGATTCTAGGCGCTTCGAGGAATGGGGTGGGGGTGGGGGGTGGGGGAAAATTTGCGGGGTGGGGGGAAGGGCTGATTTCGTTCTGGAGCCGCCAACTTTTTCTGAAAAATGGGCTCTGAACTCATGCCTGCCAGCAAGAGTCCAGACAGTGCTAGGGGTTGGGGGAAGCCAGGATTATATGGAAGGAAAAGATTGCCTCTGAACCTATGCCTGCCAGCAAAGGTCAAGACAGCGCATATATGCCCCTGAGAATGACATTGAGGAGCCATGTAGAGAAAACATGCATAGCCCTGGGTTTCAAGGCTACATGATACCTGAAAATCATTTTGAGAAACATATCTGCACTTTCTTGACCTTTGCTGGCAGGCGTGGGTCAAGAGCCCATTCCACGTAAACCCGACTTACGAACGTGTGATCAGATAGGTAGATAGGTCGACAGATAGATGGAAGCGACAGAGCGAGAGAGAGAGAGAGACAGAGAGAGAGAGAGAGACAGAGAGATAGAGAGATAGAGAGATAGATAGATAGATAGATAGATAGATAGATAGATAGATAGACAGATAGATAGATAGATAGATAGATGCATGGATGGATGCGTTCTGCCCCCCCCCCAATATCGCCCAAAAGGCATGTGCGGAGGGCCCCTGTTTCAGAGAGAGAGAGGGAGGGCGAGGGTGTAGAGCCCAGCCGTTCCACAAGGGGGGAGGGGGGATGATCGCACACACAACCAAACCGGGCCTTTGCCTTGAAGCTTTAAGACCACTGTGCAACTCGGATCCAGCCCCGAGCCCCGATCCTTGGACATCCAGTTTCGGAGAGGCGACGAGCTGGTTCCAGCTCGTCGAGTATGGAACAAGCCACTTCAGCGACTCAGGGCTCTGAGTGGTCACGTGGCAGACAGCTTTTTGTTTGGCATGCAAAAGGGCCTTTGCCGAAGATCTGAAGAGCCGCGCTGGCAGCCCCATCACCGCTTTCCAGACGGACTGCGCATTGGCTTGCGGGCTGCAAGTTTGTTAGCTTCCTCTCCCAGTCTTGCTTGGAGTGCTTTATCGACTTCGAGATACATACCTATGTTAAGCTTCCGAAATCCGACGATGGAAGCAGAGGTCAGGATGCACCAACTTGGCCATCAACAGCTTCGCTATGAGATCAGGAGCCTGCTGAAAACAAAATCCTGCAACAAAGACGACCAAGGGAGCCCCGAACCCGTCACCTGAAACTCAGACTCCAGCGCTGAGCCTTGGAAGCAGGAGCCTCGGGCCCGCTTTGGCCGCCCATGCTCTGGGTCTGGCAAGGCCAGGGCGCTGTATGCAAGGCGCACCGGGTTTCTTGGGCTGGTTCGGCTTCAGGCGGAGATGATTCCTTCTACGCGCTTTCGAACAACACTCCTCAACTGCAAACACCGCCACGCGCCTTCCGAGTTTGGAATGAAACTCGTCGCGGACAGTCCATAGTTACTGGCACCTGGTGCACCACTGAAAGGGCCAAAGCTGTGAGCTGCCGAAGACTTTCAGATGGCACTGCGACACTTCCTCCTGCCAGCAACTTCCCTTGCAAGTCTTCAGTAAGACTCACTGGATCAAGAAGTCCAAAATAAAGCCCTCTAAAAACGTTGGGAAATTTGCGTCGGGAACCACTGCACAAACACGCCTGTTCCGGTGTCTGCTTCAGTCGAGGCAAACTCGGTAGGTTGTTCTCCTGCACCGGAGAGCTAGAGACCAAGGCTCCCTCGTGCTCCCTCCCTGCCTTTGTTTCCTGTGCAGGGCCGAAGGACTCGGATCTTTGGAAAGAACTCGAGGAAGGCGGCAAGGAGGCATTCGGCACGAAGCCTTCAGAAACGCTTTCGGATCCTCCCACTCTCAGCTCTTACCTGTCCCTTTGCCCTCCATTCGAGGTTCCGGCTTTCGGAGTTGTTAGCATTTGTGGTCCTGCCCAGCGCAAAGAAGCTTTGGAAACGTCTACCTCGCTTGGGATGGCTTGGTGCTGTGTCAGCTTCGTCCTGTGAGTCTGAGTGCTGGCGTTCATGGAGCCAGATGCGAGGAGCTGCGGTGCACCTGCTCAGATTCAGGTTAGCCGCCGTGCAGGTAAATGAGCAATCGCAAAGGCTTTGTAATGCTGTGCGCAAGTAACCTGAACTGTGTTGCAGCTTGCCATGTATTCCCATGCGATCCACTCATCGCTGTTCAGTTGCCTTTCCGGGCTGCACTGGGGGGCGCTTCCAACGCCGCAGTGGTCTTTGAAGCCAAAGCTGCAATGGACGCCTTGAGCGACAAGTCACTTTTAGCGAATGCAAGTTTATTCTTCTTACCAGAACTATTTTATACAAGCTACATGTGCATATGCGTATATATGCCTCCCCACATATAAACAAACATGGATACATGTGCGTGCGTGTCTCTGTGTGTGTGTGTGTATTTGTATGGTTTTTCGCATACGGCATGCATGTCAAGAGGTGTTGAATTTGGGATTTGTGGAGCGCGGCAGCGTGGTAGTCTGAAGGGGGTTTCTGCATGGTTTGGCATGTGCTGTGGTGTGCAGTGCTGAATCTTCAGCAGTGCCCGACGGTTTGTAAGAACGTCATCGGAGCCCCCCTTCGATGTGGGTGGGGGGAGGCAGCTACTGCTGCTAGCCACTTCCATTCCACTACATTCCATTCCATTCCATGCCATGCCATTCCATTCCATTCCATTCCATTCCCTTCATTCGATGTAACATATACCATGGTGCATGTAGAACATATCATGTAGTATATAGCATGACATAAACCAAATACTATAGCATACCATACTGTGCCATACCGTTGTTAAATCGTATCATACCATACCACATGGTGTCATATTATACTGCATCATATCAGCAGATCAGATCATATCATCTCATCGCATATCAGACGACATAATACAACATGTCTATATCACGTTTTGCTTGTATATCATATCATATTATATCGTTGTCCCTAGTGTCCTCCATGAAGGGTTCGAGAGGGGGTTCTAGCATAATTGCAGACCAAGTTGTCGGGAGGGAAGAAGAGGAGGGAGGAAAGGGAAAGGGAGAGGGCGAGAGGCAAGCCGCCGGCCGCAAGGAGCTCACGAGTAGCGTCTGGCAGAACTGGCACGTCGTCAGAAAAGCCGCCGCCGTAGCCGGAAAAACCGCAAGCGCCAGTGAAGGAGCAGGAGCATAGGAGAAGGCTGGCACATGGCCAGAAACAACCGCCGCCCGGCCGCAAGCGCGAGTGAAAGAGCAGGAGCTGAGGAGAAAGGGCCTGGCAGAAAGCGGCCGGCACTAGCAGGACTGACCAATAGCGCATGAAGGCACGGCCCAAAAAAAGGGCGGCCAGAGGCCACGCCGAGGCCACAGCAGGAAGGCGGTAGCGCACAGAGGCGCGGGCCGAAGCAGCGAGAGGTAGGAGTAACGGCAAAAAGGCCACGCCGAGGACAAAAGAGGAAAGCAGCAGGACTGGCCAAAGTGCACAGAGGCGCGGCCCAAAGAAGGAGAGAAAGCAAGAACGCATCACGACAGGCCAATAGCACACGGAGGCGCGGCCCAAGCAAGGAACACGGAGAAATGGCCAAAGGCATCCAAGGGCCGTAACCGAGGACAAAGCATGAAGGCAGCAGGACTGACCAATAGTGCTTTCGGCTACGCCGAAAACCCAGCAGGAAGGAAGCACGACAGGCCAAAAGCGCACAGAGGTGCGGCCTGCAGAAGTAGCACGAGGTAGGAGAACCGGCCGAAACGGCCGCGCCGAGCCAAAGAAAGAGAAAAAAAGAAGGCCAAAGCCTGCGCCGAGGAGAAAACAGGAACGTGAGGACTGGCCAATAGCGCACAGAGACGCGGCCCGAAAAAGGAGTGACAGAAAAAAGAAGCGGCCAAAGGCCTTGTCGAGAACAAGGGAGGAACGCCGCAGCACGACAGGCCAATAGCGGCATAAGGCGCGGACCGAAGAAGGACATGATATGGGCCATAGGCCCGAAGACAACGAAGGAAGGCAGCAAGACAGGCCAATAGCGCACACAGGCACGGCCAGAAGAAGCAGCGGAAGTACGAGCGGAAAAAGGCCATGCCAAGAACAAACAAACCAGGACAGGCCAATAGCGCGCAGGGCGCGGCCCGAAGATGGAGAGGCAGCGCAAAGGACCGCTGATAGCACACACAGGCGGGGACGGGAAGGAAAGGTCAACACATGTCGTAAATCATGCTACAATTCAAGGATACTTATGTACGACTATGCTAATGTACATATATATATATATATATGCATACTAAGACTATCACTAAGACTAAGACTAACCCTGAGCTTATGCATCCGCGCAGCCTTGATTTGCATGAACACAGCTTCGTATGCAGCAGTGTGGGCTCTGAGTGTATTGCTTGAGGAGAAAGCTTGTTCAAAAGACAGCTAGACGGTGAAAGAGAACAGGAGAGTACGTAACACCACAAGCAATAGAATCACGAAATTGTAACATGTTTTCGAAACTGTATTATGACTTATAACAGGCGAAGATTGCAGAATCGTAGTCGTCTCGCTCTTAAGCGTAAGACCATAAGAACCAACACAGAACCTATCGGTATTTACAGGGTTTTCGATATCGGTTCGCACCAACACAAGTACAGACGTGATCAGCTTCGTGGCGGAGGTTGGTCCAGGGGGGGCCACCATCCATATATATATATATACACACACATATTAGCATGATGGCAAAATACATGGCAGTGCGTGTATGTTGCGTATATGCATATGTGCACACATGCCAGAACAAAAGCACGCATGTGTGTGAAAGCATATGCGCACACACACACACACATCCCGACACGGAACCATTTAAAATCCCCTGATGGCCTTGGCAATGTCGCCATTGCGAACCTGCCAAGGCTGCTGCACTTTCGATCACGCACTCGGAAACGGAGCCCACACCGGCTTAGCATCGAAAGACGGAACATCGAGCAACGATGTCGGCAAGCAGGCTACCCTCCAGTAGTCAGTAGATCGTGCCTGCTGCGGCGAGAGAACCCACGCTGTGGAGAAGGCAGTGCCTATGGTCATCTGCACGAAGGGAAACATGCAGGGACACTAAGCCGCTAAGCTTCCCATGCCCGTCGATTTCAAAGCCCTTCTGCGGGGCAAAATGCTTCGGAGATCAGCAAAGCGCATAGCTCTGACGACCCTTTGAGAAAAGCCTGCTATGCGAGTCTTACTGAAGAGGTGAGCCCATGTGAGCCCTGAATATCCCTGAATCTTCTCATATCGATTGCAGCCAGCGGTGCGTGCAGTGGGTCGCTGTCCAGGACTCTTTGCCAGGAGCGACTCAGGGGGAGCTTTTTGATTTTGTGGAGGGCAGGTAAGGTCGAGAGCTCAAGTCGAGGCTGTACTCTTTCCTGCAAGTAAACCCGCTGTGGCCTGCAATAAGTGCAGAAGGCCCCTGGACAGAGCGCCGAATGGCTCCGTGGCGTAAGAGATCTTGCAGCCTGTGCATCGCGCACCGGGCATTGCAGGGTGCTAGGGCCAGTCTGAGTGCAGCAGCGCCACGGCCGGTTCGCCGCAACACCTGCAAAGAAGAGATGACATGCAGAACACAAAGTGTTCGTCATTCGTTGCTCAGTTCCCCCAGGCTTCGTCTCAAACCCATTCGCTTAACCGACTGAGCAGAGTACAGAGGACTCAGAGGAGAGGTGCCTGAGTCAAGGATGAGCCGCGGAAAACCATCTGTCCGTCGATGGCAAAATACATGACAGCGCCAACACCGAAGACATCGACCTGCCGGGAAGTCTTCTGACAAGACTGTGGGCCCGAACCATCATCCAGCCTTTTCGTCGTACTTCAGATTCATGACCACTTCTGGTGCCACGTAGCCCGGAGATCCAACCCGACATTGCCTGTGGTCTTTCGGATGGTTCTTGGCAGAGAAGTCACACCGCCGCTCTGCCACGTTCGGGAAAGGCACACATACGCTATTCGAGCTGCCACTTTGGACCAGTTGCACGGAGCAACAGCGGTCCCAGCCATTCTGGTCAGACTGCGATATCAAAACAAGTGTAGAAAGAAACCAAACAAGCAAACCCGAATCTCAAACTTTTGCAATTTGCAGCAAATGAATGAGGCCCAGGATGCATTTGCGCTGCATCATCTACGGAGCAAGAAATGCCGAAATCGGCCAGGACGGGTCGCCTGCCATCGCTCTCACTCTCGCAAAACTCCTGAGGATGCTACACCTTGGATCTCTTCTTCTTCAGCACAGACGAGGTAGCTTTCTCTCTGACTCTCTCTGGCTCTCTAGTCCTTGTGGGACAGGGTTCGGCTTGTTGTATACATACATACATACATACATACATACATACATGCATACATGCATACATGAGTACATTTATGTACATACATATATGTTTGTGTGTGATAAGCAGATGTGGGATGCATACATATATATATATATATATATATGTGTGTGTGTGTATGTATGCATATATATATATATATATACATACATGTGTATACATATATATATAGGCATAAACCTATCTATCTATCTATCTATCTATCTACCTATCTATCTATCTATCTATTTATCTATTATATATATATATGAGACCAATACCTCTAGGGTCTATTTATCATATGTGTACATAAAGATACACACACACACACACCTCATCCCATGCGTTTCACTGCTCGAGGTCTCGAAAGCAAGCAATGCATCAGGGATTGGCAACTTCTGAGGCAGGTCTTGCTGAAAAGCTTACGTACTTCCAATCTTCTGCTTCTTGCATCAGAACCTTCTGTGCACATAGAACCATGGTAACTCCAACTGCACACGATTGGCTGCATAGGCGACCTCTGGCCAGTTCAACCAGATGTGAAACTCTTCCAACTTGAACTTCTTCTAGAAAGCAGATTGTCCATTACCGCCAGTTTACGCTACAAGAACTACGACGCACACAACTCCAGAGAAGGACACCCACACAATGGCAGACGCTGCGAGCCTGCTGCGCCCGAAGAGTACATTCTCCGCCTCAGTAAGCATGCGCGCAGGGTATCCTGACAGGTCTTCATGGAGCTTGGCTTTGCAACCCTATCGGTCAAACGTTGGCACGTCTTTGCAAGCTTCGTCCTACGGGAAACCACGAATGCTAGCGACGCAAGTTGCAAAAACTCCACTCGTTGCAAAAACTCCACTCCCACAGACTGGCTAGGAACTGAGTCCAGCGCTTTCACGTCCCGATGGACAAGTCGAAGACTATGGAGGTGGGCCAGAGCTGATAGAAGGCCTTTCACGGTCCAGGGGTCCATGGTGTCTTGCAGATGGTTGCAGCCGGGCGGATGAAGCAAGCCCATGCCAACAGCTTCCTGCCACTCCCAATTGCCAATACTGTCTTATGCGAATCGACATCGAGCATGGCCTCTGACAGCCCTGACGAGTACAACAGTAGAAACACTCGGACTTACAAGATGCCACAACCTCGAAATGCTTACTTCTGAGGCGTTGCGGCATCTCTGGTTCCAGGACTCCCGGAATCGGAACGGGCCTAGGAGCATCTCCATGGCTTCAGCCTCTTGGAGGACCCCATGGTCGGACACGGAGTCAAAGAGATCTCCTGGATGGATGTTCCCAGGCCATGAGACCGACAGCGACGCCGCGTACATTCTGTCTCGGAGTCGCGTGGATTTCCGAGTGCAGCGGCAAATCGGCAGCTCAAGTTCAAAGTCAAAGGGCTAGCAGGCCGCAGTCACTGCAAGAGCGAATTTCGAGAAAGCCACGAAAGTTCTTAAGTCGCCTGGAAATCCCGAGGCCTCCACTTATGGGTGACTGCTTGCAAGGCTATGTTCCTGCTGGCACCTCTGCAGCTCGATGCGGGCTTATACTTTGCCAGCCAGAGGCGTGTCCATGCGGCCGCGACCCTTTGAAATCCTGGTCTATCTCCAACGGTTGAATTCTCGAGCCTGCCTCGACACGAAGCTCTGAGCCGACACAGGCAGGCTTGCGAATAGTGCTTCGAGTCATAAACACAAGACACAATAGGTTTGAAAGAAGTAGCGAAGACCTGCTGATTGCCACAGCGCACCTTCACCCAGCTTTGCGTCCTTAAGACCTTACTGGTGCGATGTTAAAGACAACGGCCCTTTTTAGATTCTGAGACGACGCAAGCAACAACATCCAACCCTCCACGTCCTCCAGGCAGCAGCTCGAGCACTATTCGCCAAGACAAGGGTCCACCATGCTTGGACCTTCGGAGCTTCGGGACACTCGGAGGCCTGGGCCTGGCCCTGGCCCTTCTGTCTTCGTGCGCAGATCCATCTTGGAAGTCGATGAGAATCTGCTGTTGCAGAAGAGTTGCTCTTCCGGCGTGGCGGCCTCTGATCCTTCGCCGGACTTGGGAGAGCCTTGCACACATCTCTTCCCTCAGAGCTACACTGGCGCTGGAGGCGATTCGGACGGTCAAGGCAGTCCAAGTCATTGCCAAAAGTGCTCGCTGACAAGGAGCCATCACTCGATGGATCGCTTTCAACGACCTCACCTGAAAGAGCAAAAAACAGGCCCGGAGGAGAATGGTACGTACTTGATGCAACTTGCCCTCTGCCGGCGAGATGCAAAAAACACCTGCAAAGCCACAGATGTTTGGGTGACCTCCAGCACCAAAAGGAGATGCACATGGATTCTTGCATTCGTAATATTTGCGCAGCTACTCCGATACTCAATCAAGGGCCTGCCGCCATTGCCAAGGAAAGAACTTCACTCCTTGCGGAGAGATATCACTACTCAAGCCTTTCTTGGAACAATTCGGTACGTCGGTACGCTCATGTTGCGATAACTCAGCATGAAGAACTGCAGCCAGAGGCCTAGGAACAAAAAGATCTAATCCCCTTGCCAAGCACTGCACACGTTCTGAAATTCTGTCCTGAGTGATGCCTGATCAATGCGCGCCGACAAGACCTTCACCGCACAGCCATCCTGGCCACGCAGCCTGTCCAAAGCTCTGAGGCCCATGTGTTGCTTTTACCTCTGGGAGCTGCGGTCCGGAGTACGGAATCTTTCGAAACACCTGGCCTCTCGGGCAGCGACAGTTCTGACTTCGGCCTCGCATGGCCAACTCGCTCAAGACTCGGATTCGAAGTCACTGATCCTGTATGGGCTACAGTACGTAACAGGGCACTGTGAAACAGCTGGGGACCCGCGCGCCGCCGCAAATACCTTGCCACAGCTTCCGGTGCCCAGCACATGACCTGAGAAACCAGGCTTCAAACACCCAGACTTTCGCATCGACTGCGGCCACAGAAGAGCGAAGCCACTTTCAGACATCAGTACATTGGCTCGTGCTTCCACGCTTTTGCCCATGTCTCCTCGCTGAAAGTCATTCCAGGCGACGCGTCGAGAAGGTGTCCTTCCAATCCTCATGTTTCAACGGATTCGAAAGACAGAAGCTCTCCAAAAAACGCATGCCCGCAAGCAAAAACGCTAATCGAAACCTTAGCATCTGCAGCACAAGCAGCCCATCGCACAGCGCCCTGCATTGAGAGCTGCACCAGGGCATCAGAGGCCGCTGAGCACAAGATCCAGGCTTCATCTCAGATTCTTTGCCCACAGTTACAAGTAGTATCGTCAGTCTCAGCGTTTACCGTGTAAGCTGGGGCCGGGATGGGTAACTTCCACAGCCCAACACACGCGAGAACTTGAAGGGCTAAATGGGGTGGCCATCTGCTGAACGGGAGGCCGGCACCTGCCCAAGATGAATCCAACCTGACGGAGAAGCGAGTCAGGTATTGCCTGTGGCATTTGAACATGCCGCTATGGCCATCGCCGCCCTCCCTTCTGTCTGCATACAAAACGGTAGACCTGAAAAATGACTGCTGTAGAGAAACGGTGTGTGCCACCACGAAAAAAAGGGCGGCCGTGGACTGGAGTAGCAACTGCAAAGCTCGAAACCCGAGACCTGTCCTGCGATGAGTACAAAAGTTCTTTGGCGCAAAGAGAATACTTGGGAGACTTGCAGGCAGGTCTCTCGGCTTCGGGGGCTCGTGGCGCCACTGCGATCACTTGCAAAGCGAGGTCACCCTGCCAGCGATAGAAATGCTTCAAGGGAGCTGAAGCACAAGTTTATCACTCGTTCAGAGGTGAAGGCCGTTGTTTTGGATTTGGGTCCTGTGAACAATGCACCCCTGGGCAGAGCCACCCGGCTGACACCCCAAACGCCAACATCATTCACGAAAGCTCTCTTGTGCTGGCACAGGCATCTTTGACATTTCGTGGTTGGAGAACCATGCACATAGTGACTTCCATGCAAGTATCTCCGAGCTGAAGCATGGATCCAAGGAGTCCGTGCAGACGCTCTTGCAAGCCTGTGCAGTTTCCAGATCGTTAGTCGGAGCGGACGCCACATCCGCCAACATCAGGGAGATGCAGAACAAAGGCTCCTGGCCAACCAAAGCTTCAAAGACAACGATTTGCGTGAGGCCAAAGGCCACGACAACTGCAATGGACCATAGTTTTGCTTCCGAGGGTCATCAAGTAAGTCGCTCTTGACCTGCAGCTGCCCTCTGTTGAGCGTCACCGGACAATCACGAGTGTCCGAAGACCTGCACAGCGAGTGATATTACAGAAAACCAAGACTTGGACTCCACATTCGAGCATGCACCCAGCCCAAAACAGCCAACACCACCATTCGGACATCTTGAACTTAAAGCGAGTAGATGCGAGTAGTTAGCATGAAGAATCCTGCTGACAACTAGAGGCCCGGGAGTTCTATTCATTTTCTCTCACCGCAGGGCCTTGGCGACGCGAGGTCGCTTTCCGCCTCAAGCGAGTCTCCAATCGCGAGGACGCTTCAAAGGAGCGTTTCGGTTCGCATTAGCACAGCTTTCGCAGACTTGCATGTACCTCCCTAGCAGCTATGACCGCATCCAAACTGATGATATGGTGTCGGAACTTCTCGCAATGCCCGCTCACCAGGGCCGCCGAGGCACGATGCGATCCAACAGTCGACCCAGTAACTCTCCACGTAGCGGCGAATCACCGGAAGGATCCTGAAGATCTCGAAAGATCACGTGAGGCCAACATGTTTGAGGGATCGCAAGCCGAAGGCATTCAGCTGCAGAATGTGCGAGCTGCTTGTGATGAAAGTTCTTCCACCACTGCAGGAGTAGCATCAGATGTGGCACCAGGAGACTTGATGAGCCAAGCATTTCGCGAATCATTGCAAAGCTGAAGCTGCTGAAACACGCTGCCGAGAACATTGGTCATCTTCCGCATGTCTGGCATGCCTTTTTGAACCAATGCAGTCTGAGGCTCGGATTGCAAGCCTCAATTCAACAGAAGTTCTCTTTGCTAAGTGATGCACCTGCGAACTTGCAGTGCCACTGTGCAGAGATAACGCAGTGAAAAACTGTCCTCTTTTGCCAAGTCTCGCGGCTGATGTGCAACATCGTACATGCATTCAAAGTCGCCAATTCAAAGGCACATGGTAGGCCAGGGAACGGAGTGGCTTCGGATCGCTGGCGGAGCGAAGGTGCACCTGAGATGTCTCCAAGGTTATTGCCTGTAGACTCTGTAGACTCTAGTCGACTGTCGCAGGCCAATGATGATGTGTGATGATGTGACTGATATGATACTCCATGTTCTGAGGTGCTACAGGGATGAGATCCCGTTCGACAGACTTTCCGGACCAAGCCATCAACAGAGGGACTGCTTGCAGGCTTAGGCTGCGCGTTCTCAAAAACCGGCAGAAGAGAGGAGTTTTCAGACTACACAAGCACAGTGAGTTGATGTCTTGCACATCTCTTCATCTCAAAAGGTCCAAGATGCGGGATGAAGCCATAACATCGGGGAGGGCTGCCTCACATCTCCCGCCATGTCTCTCTGGAAGATGTCGCCGTCTCCATGGCCGCACACCGCACCCCCACTCGTCAGCCACACAGCCCCCCTGCTGCCACTGCGATAACGTTGCTTTTGTCAACAGGGGTGCGGCGGAATGCTGCTCCTGGGTTCCACCCAAGGTCGCAGCCGGGCTCAGACTTCCAGCACGAAGCTATGGTGGATTCCATTATCACGCTCGTGCGAAAGGTCTGCTTACTCCCGCAGGCACTGGTTGAGTGCTGCGACAGCTATCTCAAGCATCTCGATTGTCAACATCATGTCTTCTCTAACCAATAACAGCATTTCCTGTGGGCCACAGGCACACCGGTGATTCCCGACATGCAACATGCGTGGTTCGTTGCTTCGTAAGCTTCCTTTACACTACATCTTCGAGTCTTTGAGTTCATCGAGTTGCCCCCGAATTGTCGTAGTCTCCACCAGCTGTGGCACCTGCCTATCCTGTGGCAGTCGCAAGAGCGAGGCTCAAGCACAACAGCTCCAGAGCCCGTCTAAAAGAACCACCACTGATTCGATCCAATTCTCCCTTCCGGAGGCCTGCTGTCGAAGTTCATCTGCCTTTCCGCTGCCGATGGGCATGCGACCGGAAGTTGGTCGCCACCTTGGCCAGGCAGTTGGGCCATGGAAGCTTCAGAGCGGCTTTAGTTTCAAAGCTCCGCCATGCTGTCTTGTGGTACATCCCTATCTGATACCAGCTCCTTGGCAGGCTCTGCATTTTGCCAAAGGTTCCATCTACGACAGCACAACCTTTCCCGATGACCCTTGCAGACTCCTGAAGTTCCATGCAGAGGTTCTCAGAGGTCGCACTGCTGTCACGATCATTTCTCGGACAGCGACGCATGCGAGGCAGGTTCACTGTGGAGGGAACCTCAGCCTCGGTCTTCCCCGATTGTCAGCTCTCAGGATGGAGCTGTTGAAGCACGCGCTCCTTCACCTACGTCGGAGCAATCTCAAAGCTATTGCTACAAGCGATCCCTGCATGTGGTTATGTCGTGATCCCGGTGTATTTGTTGGGCGGAACTGCGGTTCCATGAGAGCTGAGAACTAGAAATCAGCTTCCCAATTCTTCAACAGCACAGTCTGTGGAATCAGCAATGGCAATGAAGGTTCTCACCCGCGCTGACAGCACACTCCAGCAGAAATGCTGTTGATTGCAGACGTGAATCCCAAGTCCCAAGAAGAGAGCACGGGGAGTTCTCTGATGCCCCAAACTCACAGATGCCACGGCAACTCCTTTCCCCCTGCCTCCACGCCCAAGGTCCCGCAGAGGTTCTCCAGTTCTTCGAGGGACTCCTCGCGGCAACTCTCCTCGTCCCAGACTCCCCCAGTTCGAGTGCCGTGTGAGCTCCCGCCTCCGGTGAGAAGGAAGGGCCGTAGGCGGCACTTGCCGCCCGCTTCTTGGGGCCTGGATCCCAGCCTCGGTGGTCTGCTCCAAAAGAGCCCAAAAGAAGAGCGCCTTCTTCATGCTTGCAGAAAGCGCCACCCGGCACGACGAATGCTACAGGTTCTTTAAACTTTACAGGTTCACTCAAGCTCCAGGCCCACAATGACTGCCTGCAGAGCGGCAGAATGACATGCTAAGATAGCTGAGCTAGCTCCTCTGTTAGTCACGAGTGTGAAGAGTACAGCTCGTCCCCAAACCAGGACGAAGCAAGGGGTGAGTTTTGGGACAACAGACCAAATCATGTGCTTCTTTGCTGAAGTCTCTAACTGCACTTGATTGGATTTTCGGCCTCCTGGCGTTGAACCCACGTAAACATCTGCACTTCACACGAAAATCTGGCACGTAGAAACCGCAGAGAACCCAAAGTAAAAGCTTCATTGTGGAGAAGCATGAAGCTGGCTTCCTGTCACACCGGACACAAGAGTCTACGTCTCCAACCTTGAAGCACAGAGCAGTACCAGCTTTTAAGCTTGTGAGCCGTTACGCGGAGTATTGCATGAGGTTGCCACAAACGCGCCTTGCCAGACAGCTCCCGACCGAGGGCATCAAACTCCTCAGACTCAGAGCTGGGATCAGTTCTCCGCCCCACAGGGCGAGTTGGTGACACCCACTAAACTTAAACATCTCCTCGAGTTTCTGAAGCTGCAGGCAGCTTTCGGCATCCCTCGACCCCAAGAGGAAGAGACTTTCCAAAGCTCGCAGAGAACCCTGACCGCCTGACAGCAACTGACGCGGTTCTCAAACCCGTCAGGGGCCTCCATGTACTCGCCATCGCCTTGAGCACAAAGGCCCAAGGGCCGAAGCGACTTGCTCCTTCCGCGGGCAGTGCAAAAGAGGATGCTTCTGTTCGGTGCTGACTACATGCAAGGGCCGCAAGGGTTGTGCTAAAGATGATACGTGATGTCGGTGAAGGCAGGCTGGGACTCTTTGTACCAGGATGGCTGGGCCCGTCTCTCTCTTATGACCTGCTTGTTGCAGACCTGCAGCACCCTTCAGAGTTCTTGACTTCGAGTTGACTTCCGGGGTCTGCCTGGACTGTCGTCTCCACAAAGTGATGGCAGCGCTCGCAGCCAATACAGCGTGCGCTCGACCTCCGAGGAAGGGGGGGGGAGGTACCGGTCGAGCGTCAGAAACTTTGCTTGAAGCACGCCTCGACGACAGCAGCTCACTGCGTGCGCGGGACCCTGCGACAGACTTAAGAGCTGCCTTCGGCAGCGCAGTGCCCCAAAACAAGTCGTCGTGGTGCGAAGTGCAGAAGACAGAAGGCCTCTCTTCCAGCCGCAGACCGGAGGACTGCAGGCGCCTGGCTGCGGTTGACGCTGATTTTGGTTCCTTAGAGAGCCGCGTGGGCCTCGTCAGAACTTCTGGGTAGAGCTTGCAGCGCTCCATGGCAGGCATAGGTTGGATACATCTCCGGAGTCTAGTGTTGCCAGGCCCGTTGGGCTAGCACTTCGAGAAGCTCTGGATGAGATGACCGCAACATGTTGTAAAAGCTCCTGACCATCGCTGGAGGTAACTGAACCTCTCGCTAGACTCGTAGGATGCAGCTGAGGCAATTCAGAGGCACCCATCACTCGCTCAAACTGACAGCGAGGCTTCAACACAGCAAGCGCCCTGTTGATCCATGCAGCATCTGCACCTTCCGGCCATCCATAGATGAGAATTCCAATCGGGTTGCATTAGCGATGATGATCTTGCCGTCCGGCAATCGCCGGACAGGGAGCAGCATGCCCTTGCAGAGGCTATCGCTGGTGACTGCACCCCATATCTGAATCATCTTCAACCGCGACAGGCGCGAAAGGCACCACCGAAAGACTGCAAGGCCTGCTTCACCAAGCTGCGGCTTTGGCAGCTTGAGTCGCTACAGACTCGTGTTGCCAATGTGTACAAGTCACGGAAGTAAGGACTCATCTTGAAACATGAAAATACAGAGGCTTCGCCGAACTTCGAAGCTCATGTGATGGGCTTGAACAGGTCCCTTCTTCAGTGACGGTAGAGGTTGGTCCTACAGCTAGGCGTTTGCTGTACTCAGGCTTCGATGGAGCGTCGCAGTGTAGGCATTGATGGCCTGAGGGCCGGCAGGAAAATGTGCTCTTGTTTGGTCTCACCGACATAGCATCATGCGAAGTGCGACATGCCATTTAACTTGTGGCCTGCACCACCTCATCATCAGCCCGATCTCGCTTGGCGACCTTCCATGGCACAAGATTTGTGTCTCGCCCCCCTCGCAGAATCTCCAGCACCTCCTCCGCCAGGCCCGCCCGTAAAGCTGCGAGACGCTGCAGCACCAACGCCTTCAAAAGCCCCGTGTAGGGTCTTCTGGTTGTGCTATGTGGGAACAGTCTGTCCACCGCCACTGATTCACCGACCATCTCCACGTACATTCTGCGAACATCTACTGCCCTCTACTGTAGCCCCCTCATCAACGCATACGCGGAGTCGGAAACGAAGCATCCTGTGACTTCCTGGAGTGGAGGGAAAAGAGGTTGTGTTCAAGAGCACCCGTCCCCTCTATGACGCCGTCTGACGCCCATTTCATGATCCGAGCTGTTTTGGGAAGAAGCGGCATGCGGAAGAGAAAGTCGCAGGTTAGCAATCAGAAATACTACTACAATCTACTGCACATTCCTGCCTCTCTAGCGACTTTCCCAGGCAGACAAGCAGAAATGTCAAATTGAATCGCAAGTCTCTCATTGGAGCGGAAAAAAAGTAACGTAATGTCAAGCACCAACTCTGGATTGAAGCGACATGACGAGGTGGCACTAGTATGCACTATTTCATACTATTTCACTATTTCACTGATACGATGTTGCGTGTGGACAACTTGAAGTCACGCAGCAGCTGGCGCCACGACCGGAAACGAAAGCGCAGACTTAATACCCGACGCAAGCTTCCAGGGGCCTCGCTGTCCCCGAAACGAAGGCTCAGACTGACAAAACACATTTCCGGCACAGGAAGTGAATGGCCCCACCCTTTTCTGGCCGATGTCTGCATCCTCCGGTGTCGTTACAAACCTTGGCTTTGCCAGAACTAGCGCAAACATACCATGGAAAATGCAGCGATACTAGTGCACGTGCCGGATTCGCCATTAGCTATTGAGCTTTTTGGGTGACTTGAGGTATCCGGGTCCATCACTGATCGATGAGCTCCTGCAAGGCCTGGCGTGACGTGCGACGACGTGCAGATCCGCTGCTGTTGATGAAACGGCCTCTCCCCGCCGCTCCAACCGCACGAGCTCCTGAAAGGGCACCAGTTATACAGGGTGCCGAAGTAATATTCTCGTGTGGATCAGGTTCTGAGTGCCCAGGCTCGCTGGGCACCAGCTTTGCAAACGTGGTCTCCGTACCGAGCTATCAGGCAAAGCTACTGCCGGAGTCAGTGCCGTCCTTCTGCAACTCTGCATCAATGTTGAAGTCGCCCTTTGCGGGATTGGTCAACGGGTGGGCAGTTCGCGAATGAATCAGGTTTGACTGTTGAGCTGCTAGACGTGGCAGACAGCCGTGGCAGACATGATATCCGCCCTTCCCTCGCACAGTCTTTCTCTCTGTCTCGCTTGCTTTCTTTGCTTGTTTTCTCACACACTAAGCAGAAACCGGACAAGGAATCCTCGTACGCACAAACACATCACTTTATCCAACAAGTACAAGCAGAATCGTCCATGCAGACAAATGCGTGCCATGGGAGCCACTCCTGTGCGATTGAAAGCATGCACTGCGTTCACTCCGTGGCTTTATCACCGTTGAAGCTCCCAGCCCATCGCGTACCGACAAAGCGCCTCCTCGATCTGCTGCAGCAGAAGGGCGGCCTAAACAAGGGGAGCCCGGGAAGCAGCGCCCCACGCTGTCGCTTGGCCGTGCGTGTGCCTGTTCGGCCGCCAGGGGCTGCTCCTTGGCAAGGTCCTCGTGGAGCCCCAGCATCCTGATCTGAACTCCCGGCTTCCACGTACAAATCCCAACTCCCAAGGTCGAGACATTTGTCTCAGGTTCGACATCTCCACCTGCGAAGGAACGGCGTGCAAATACCCCCTTTTGACCCGCTACTAGCAGGGAGGATTTCCGGAAGTAGCAAGCTCACCTGAACAATCAAGCGAAGAATGCAAAGTACGTATGGCACACAAAGAAAACCCTCAGCAAAGCAATGCACGAAGTGAGATTCTCATCAAACCGCCAGGCAGATTTGCATAGCAGCTGACAGATAGATAAGCGCAGCATTGCACGTTATAAAATCGCTTCAGGATCTGGATCTGCATGACCTCGTCTATCAGGGTTGCTATACATCACCTGGACATACCTGGACCAACGCCGTTCTGTTGCAGTAGCTAACTAAGATTTCTTGAGGTTTCGAAGTTCGCCTGCAGCTGGGAAGGCCGCTCTCCTCGAAACTGCTGAATGCCGAACTCCAGAGTGGCACACCTGCGGCGGGGCGGCATGGGGCGGCCGACGCCCAGTGAGGGGAAACCCAAGCGACAGTTGAGAGGCGGGGGGAACGCACCTCTCAGCCAAGGCTTCCAGGGTGCTGAGCAATGATGCGAAGCGGTCAGAAATCCTGTCTTGGTCAAAGCACGGAACTCAGCTGGGCTGCACTTCGGTGTTGCTGCCTCGATTGGATGGTCTCTACCATTTGGGCCAATCTCTTCTCCATCGCCTGCAGACAGCTTGGTAGACTCAGAATTCCCGGAGAAGCCGTTTTGGGCACCTGTCTCAAGTCGGCCAACTCTTTATCGCGATTGTGGGTCTCGTCCGTGAGCCTGGACCCGGGAGCTGTCTCAGGATGCTCAATCCCAAATTCGAGGCCCGGGCTCGTGCTCCAGCTTTCCCAGAGCCACCAGGAGCTGTCACGCAGAGGTTTACGGCACATCAAGACCAGAACCCAAGCTCGACTCTTGCAAAAAGGGGTCAAGAAGCCCAGACGGCTATTGCACCATCACTCTCGAAAGTTCCAGAAGACTGAGCCCGAGAATCAGCCACAAAAAACTCACAACCTCCTGGCAGCGGTGTGAAGCCAGCTCACGACGCCTCTGGACTGTCGGCTCTTGTGTCGCACTTGCTAACTGTTGGAGCTGGTGCTAGATTCATCACATGATCAGTACACGACATACCCACACAGTGCTGTTTGGTCCCTTTCTCTGCACCGTCCTCCAGACTTCGATGGTAAACCTAGTTTCGACGTAACCCATCTCTGCGAGCCCCTGCCTCCTGGCATCTTGGTCCACTTGTTGCCCCAAGCTTGCGAAGCTGCGGCACGGGGCAGAGTCAGACATGACGAAACTTATGAGCACTACGGCAAGCAGAAAGAAGAAAAGCGATTGACCCAAAACTCCTGTCATCCACCATGCAACAACCCCATAGGCTGTAAGCAGCGACATGGCTTCTAACAGGCGGCGACTGGGCATTGTCCCGAGCTGTTGCTTGAAACCAAAGCGATGTGCCTAGTGCCAGTATGTACAACGCGGAGCTACAGATTTGCGATTCAAGAAATCGTAAAATGCCTTAACCCGTGCAGGGAGCCTTGATCCCAGGGCGCGCCTCAGTCAGAACAGATGTTTCATGACTTAAATCAGAGATGTAGACAGTACAACACTTCGTATTCGATGGAAGTCTAGCAAACGGTCCCAATACAACACACGAGCATTGGTTCCTGGGTTCCCGAGCAGCTTCTGCCGCAGGGGATCCCCCTCCGATTGGGGCCGGGAGGCCTTCCAGCAATCCGAAACAGCCATGAGACAACCCGTATTTCGGCTGTCTTTGCATTCCCCTCTCGGCGCCGAGACCCAAGCCCCAAACCGACTGGAAGTCACGATACCTTCCTCTAGCCTCAACGTGAGTCTCGTCCACCGGCTTCATTTCGGACTTCTTTTCAGTCCTGGCAGTGCCGGAAACCAAACCAGAAGCCCGCCGCAACCAAAATTGCCCTCCTCGGTGTTCGGAGATGGCCCGTCATCGACAAGCCGCTGAAGCGGAGGCCTCAACACTCCGCTTAGACTCACGAAGAGAGGCCTAAGCCGGGCTACGGAAGGACGCGACGGCTCTCGGCATCTCTTTCCTGGAAGCTGCTTTCTTTCTGCAAAGTTGAGGTACCAAATGCCTGTATGCAGCCGGCCTCAAACAACAATCAATCCCATCTCCCACGCACTTTTTCACTCGCGTCTGAAGATGTACGTCTCCACCAGAAAACACAGGAACGTTTTCGAGCGCGGCTAGATCCAGCTGCTGTCGCAAGCTCGATTTCGACCTTCTGGGGTCGGCAGCCTGGTTGACTACATGCTCACGACTCGTGCCGCCTCCAGCGTGCTCAGCATCTGCCACGTGTCATGTGTCTCTGTCGGCGGCAAGCAAACGGCTTCGCTTTGCGTTCTCAACTTGGGCAACTTGTGCGCGCGGCATCGCTTAGTGTCTCGCAAGCACACGCCCTGCACGATGTCGTCCAACAAGCTTCTGATCTCTGAGCGAAGTCGGTTGCCTTGCACTCAGCAATGTAACTGTCGTCAGCCCCATGCTTGACCGCTTTGGCCAGCGCCAGCTGTAACTCGTCGACTCCTGCGACCTCGATGCACTCACGATCTTCTCGAGCCTGAAGTTGCTGTTGCTGCGCTTTGGCGGCTTCGCTCGCCGCTCTGACTTCAGACTCTGGTGCTTGGAATCGCGGAAACATGCACGTGTTTGCGAGCTTGGCTGATCGCAACATGTGGTCAGGATTTGAGCTTTGGGCTCTAGCTCGCCCAGAACCAACTTCGGAAGCTTCAACACTGCTGCAGCAAGCTCGGCCTCTTTCGCTTGCACCATGGCCTCCGTCCACTTCACAAGATCATTAAAACTCGCCAAGGCCGTCTGCAGCGAAACGTGACAGTGAAACAAGTGCTTTGCCGTAGTCACCGCTGATACCTGGATCCGAGCCCGCTTTCTCGTTGCTTTGCAAGACTTGGCTGGTTTTCACCGATTGCTCGCTCAGTGTGTGCCGCTGCCAAAGCGCGTCGAACGCATTCTAAGACATCGTCGCAATCTGCCAGTTGCTCGTTTTGGCGAAGTTCCAAGTCCGCATAAGCCGTCACATCACCTGTCTTAAGTTGTCAGGGTTGCCCCATGATTGCACTTTCTCCTGGCAGCTCGGCCTGAACAGTGAAAAGTTGGCCAAGATACCGGCCGGTGTTGCATTTCCAAGACGCAGGCTGGGTGCAACAAACGTGTGCTGTGAGCGAAGCTTAGACAAGATCCTGCACCCGCAGTTTGTGCGCTTGGGAGGCTGGTCGCTTGCACATGAAGAAGCAATGTAAAGGCCATCGCTGTATTCAAGCCGGGGGCTCACGTGACAGGGATTCCCATGCTCCCCTGTTGGTGAGCTTCTGCTCTCGTCTCTGAGCTGGGAAACCATCTTGCGAAGCAGGAGCTTCTGGCAATGAGCGCTTCCTAGGTTCGGAAGGCTTCACGTGCTTCGATTGCACACTTTCGCTGGCTAGTGCTCAATACATCACGAAACTTGGGCAAGACACCTGCGGAACTGAGACCATGAACTGTTTTCAGCACCGGTTCCAACAGACCCCTCTCAGGGGCTAGTTCAAACTTCAACTCAACCGAACCTTCTGCTTGTCAAGAGCCAGCCAGCAGTGCACCACACCAAGCTGTTAACCTGAAAGCCTCGCTGGAACCCGAATCCGCCAATCCCACTTCAACTCCCAAAGCCTTGACACTGCCTTGACTCTGTGAATCCCTCTAAGCTCTGATACTGCTGCGGCACTCTACTTGTCGCAGGAACATCAGGAAAGCTTGAGCCAGGGGCGTCTCATGGATGGCGACGAGGTTCCGGAAGTTCCTCGATCTTTTTTCAAGCACTTTGGCACCATGTTCTGGCATGCACTGCATATGCTCGAGACAAGAGGGGTCAGCGAGCACATTGCAGAAAGACGCTGCTGTTTTCAATTGAACGTGGTTTGCACTGTGCAAAAAAAACCGAGCAACTCCCCACACATCGTCCGCACTTCAGACTTCGAGTTCGCATCAAACTGTTGCCCCGAAAGCCGCGAAACAAAGCAGACGTGCCTTCCCAGACTTCGGACTCGGTAGCCTGCAAAGGACCGACTCAACAAAGAAGGTCCCATCTCCAAAAGAGTGGTGCAACTCGACTGAAAGTGGACCTTTTTCACCTATGCCTGGGCAAGAATCTCAACTTTCTGAGGGAGCCTGAGAAGCCGGGGGCCAGCGAGCGGAAGCCGAGTTCACCAGGTCTGCAGTCAGAGGTCACTTCTGGGGACTCCGGCTTCGGGCCTCTCATACCTCAACGATCTGGTGACGGGGATGCTTAGAGAAACTCACGAACGTCCTAGATGGGGCATGAGGCACAGGTATCATACACATAACTCTCTACGAGCCAGCCGTTAGAGCTTGCAGCCAAGACCGTCAGCGCACGTCTGGCTGAAGCCGAGGCTTCAGATCCAGAACTCTGGTCTGAAACGCAAGCCTTCCGTCCCCTTGAGGGCCGGCTGGAGCCCATACCTAGGTGGTTTGCAGGTCTAGGCAGGTCTCAAAGCCCGCCGCCCTGCAGCGGTCTGAGGCCTTGGCCGACCATCAGCCTGGACAGAAGCGACTCCAGGTGCAACCCTCGTCGCTACAGCCCCGGACGGGCTCCCGGCCTGCTTGACCAAGGCACACGGCTGCTGCACCTGGAAGGCGCACAAAACCAGCCCTGGCTCATCCGCTTGCAGTCGCCAACCCCCCCCCCCCCGCGCCGGGGTCACGGCCATGCCAGGCAACGCGGGCAGCAGGCCAGATGCGGAGGCCTGTGGTCTCGTCATTCGCGTCACCGAGATGGTGGGGGCATGGGCGAACATCATCATGCCAGATGTCAGGTGTCTGCAGTACTGGCATTCACAGACCAGTTGACAATCGCCTCTTTGGCCGAAGCGCATTGGCACAGAAATGCAGACAAGAGGTGTCAAGCTGTTTACTGCAGTGGCTGTTGGTACCTGCGCGCAACGAATTTGAAAGCTGTTGGTTCAACTTTTCACAGAAATGCTGCGGCCACACACTATCACTTGAAGCACATGACAACGTTTCAGAATGTTTCAAACTTCCGGGACCCATCTCGCAGCATCTATTGCCTTTGCTTTTACTCGCGCCACGTTCGTGGAATTCGCGAGGCTCGATTGCAGTCGGAGTCACCTTTGAGTGAACACCACGACTGCAGCACTCCCTAAGCCCCCTTACCCTGCACTTCTCCAGAACTGATGCGAAGGCACCCTCTGTGAGACAGGCAGCTTTGGTGCAAAAATTGGCCCACCGAAGCCTCTGCAAGCTGAAACATACCATACGAATAAACTAAAATAAGTCATGAAGAGATCCTGGCATCCACCCTGTGCGAACCCAACATGAAGATGCGAATCTCGAAGTGACCAAGATCTCCTACCGGAGCCCCAGCGTCATCCGCGAGGGAGCCTCCGCACCTCAGGTCGTCACACAAGAGACAACTCGTGACCCGCTGAGTTTCAGACGCTCTCCGTTCCCCCCCCTCAGTCTGGTCTTCAGTTCAAAGCGGCCGAGTTTTCGCAGGTAGCAGCTTTCCTCCATCTCCGCCTGCCAGACGCAGCGCATCAGAACGAAGAGAAGAGATGGGGAAAGACCCCGCGGTCTCAGCTCCGCCTGACAGCGGAGCTTGGGAGCGGTAGCAGTGCGCTGGAGGTGTCGCTCAGCAGCTCCACGTAGTGTCTGGCAGGGTTCTACAGAAGTGGGGACTTCGAGCTTTTGGGTGCATGCCTCCGCATGTCGGAGTTCGCTTGCCCGCGCAAGCGCGACCTGATCGAGCGGAGAGTTGAACTTCAGGATCAACCAGATTCTGCAGCGAATGACCGATGTTCCAGTTTGCACCTGCACTCAGCACCTGGCTCGCAAAGTGAAATGTGGATCGGTTTCGTCTCTCTGGATGCTTGTTGTGAGGAACTTCTCATCAGCTCTCACAGGCTTGTCACAGCAAGCTCTTTGGGTTCCCCCCTGCAACCGAAGCCTGTGGTCCACCTACAATCAGCTTCTCAATCAGCCCCTTACAGGGCCCTGCCCTGCCTGCGAGATCCTGCGAGCTGACCGGCCTAGACCTCATCCACTGGATTCCACGTAGCCTGCAACCTCCTTTTTGCCCGACCCGCGGCCTGCTCCGTCCCTTTTTCCTGCCTCTGTGGCCGTGCCCGATCGGACTATGCTGCGAAGCGTTAGCTAACCGTTAGCAGAGCCACCCCCATTGGGGGTGGATGAGTCTCAGCTTCGTTCGTCGCAAGTCGACACCACTGTCGAGCTGTTGTTCGAGCATCCGGACAACAGACATCAGAGCACAGGCAGCCAAGCAGCAAGATAGCTGAAGGCAAGTGCTGCCAGGGGCCAGCATTACAAAGATGCTCGATAACGATACGCATTTCAAAGATCAGGAGCTGCTCCATATAGCAGCACAGCCGTGTGGCACTCAGGATCCACATGCATTCCCATTGACATGAAGCCGAGGCTTGAGAACGTTCCTGTCTGAACTGCAAAGCCTCACCGAGCCGGAGACGACGTGTTCTGGCTGCCAGGTTCTTACGTCTGGTGGACAACCTCGACTGCTCTCCAGGCGTTGCTAAACGTTGCACGTGGCAGCATCCGAGCTTCGAACGCGGACCACGTCCCGAACCTGTGATCATGACAAGTGACATGGGCACCACTGTATGAACTCTTGCTGAGAATACATATTGCAAAGATCGCACATGTGATTATTTTCGGGATTATCATTAGGATGGCGGTTATTGTGATCGCATTTCATACCACTAGGGAAGGGTAACATGTGTAGGGATCATGACTTCACCACAGGTGATGAAGTTCGAACAGGGTTGGGTTGTGGGCTCCGTGTACAGGGTCTTCTGCTTAAACTTCAAGCGGGATAAACCTCCACCCAGCCCTGTCTGAGGCAATTCCGGTGCAGCCTCTCGCTGAGGACTTACGCCAAGCATTGGGCCAGACAGGCAGATTGAACTGCAGCTGCAGCTGCAGGCCAGAAAACACCGCTACCATGGTGTACAAACGGCAGGGGCACATGTCTTGCAAATTGAATGCATCATCGAATTACAGACTCAAACCTGCAAGCCAGCAAGCGCAAAATCAGGTGAACATGCTCTGCCATCCCTGTGAATCCCTGAACGATCCAAGGAGGCTGGGGATCCCTGCGTGCAAGGATGGAGCCGCGGACAAACCCGGCATCCAGTGGGACGAGTGCGAGGTCCTGGTGAGCGGAGACTCCAAAGACCGGTTATGCCGCTCACGATCTGGTGGTTCTCCGATGCCCACGTAAAAGCCAACTTCAAGCGTGCGATTGCTGAATGGTCTCTTCTATGATGAAACCGCTCTTTGCATTGTCAGCTTATGGGCAACTGCAACTCTGCTGCTTGTCTTGAAAAATACTCTGGTGCAGAGAAGCCGGTCGGCTGCCACAAGAAGCTGTAAGCAAAGAGAAGAATAGACATCCTACACGAACCACCCGAATGAGCTACCACATGTTACCACCGATGTCCTTGTAACAAGGCATGGCTGGGCTGGTCGCCCACAGAAAGGGGATGCGAAGGGAGGGCCACACAGACTACAGTAAGCCTCTAAGCACCCAAGCCGAGGCACCACTGCCATGCTGTAAGTTCCGGTCAGGAATCCGATGCAAAGGCTTCCTTTCGCAATTCTAACCTCTTCTACCTTGGAGCCGTCCCCATCGGATGTTGACGAAACGCAGCAATGCGGCAGATGCCCTCCCCGGTCCCAACCGCAAGGAATGCACCCTGCCCCTCTTTTCTCCTTTCCAGCATGTCTTGTGGGAGGGACCTCGACCCCACACAGCTCGGTGCACAAAGGCACCCTGAAGACGACCCTGAGCCTCCGGACTGGTTTGGTGGTGTGATGTCCCTCCCCGGAGGCCCCAGCTTTTTGAGCATGAAGCTCGCCTTCAGACTTCAAGCTGTGCTTAAATGCACTTGTGCAACACGCCTGCGAATACATAGTCTAAAAAAGTGCACGATCAGCAGGCCGCATATGTCCGCGTTCGTGTCTGCAAGACAAAAAACTTCAACTGCAGCTGAAAGCATCAGCACAGGTTCTGTTGAGCAGAGTCGTCCGGACGTTCTCGGGCCACACATTCAAGCTATCCAATTCGAATGTGCATAGGCATTGCAGCAAACGGCCAAAGGGAGCACGACACAACAACTCCTCGTCCCCGCTCAAAGATAGGCACTGAGACGTGCGCTCTAACTGGCAGTCCGAAAACTGATTCTGCAAGTCTGGGACCAACTTAGGTCGACCGGCCACATGGCAGGCTTCAGAGCTGCAGGGGAAAGATGTGAAACCTACAATTCCGTTCAGGAGAAACAAATTTGTGTTCAAAGGCAATGCCTCCTATCTGTACAGACAACGTCAAACTTCGCAGAGCACCACACCCCATCACTGAAGTCGTAGGCCTCGCAGATGTCAGAGATGAGCCAACAGCCCGGGAGTCGGAACTCGGCTTCTGGGCACATGCAAAGCCAGCACTACAGCATATCCAAGATGAAGAACATGCGAGCTTCTCCGCCCTCTGCAAATCTAGGCTCGTGTCAAATGGAGGACCCTGCTGAATCACATCCAGCTCTAGATCAAAGCTGAGCTCGAATCCATCGGACCAGCTTGCCGAAGGCACCTGTGCGCAAGGGAGCACACAAGAACATGCGTCGACATGCCAAACCATGCGGCTTCCTTGCATCGAGCCTGACATCCGACTTGAGGTGCAACGTACCTGACCGTGACATGGCCATGAGTTCATTTGCAAAGGCAGGGAAACGATGCACTGAGTGGTCACCGAGATTACGCAGGATCCCGGGTATATTGCGATGCTGGGGCTGGGCTGGTGGCTCGGGGTTCGGGCGGGAGGATGGTTGAAAAAGGCGAAGAAGGTCAAAAAGCTGAAAAGGTGAAGGTGGTGAAGAATGCAGGTGGTGACCTCAAAACTGACACACACACACACACATTCACGCAGACACACACACACACACGCACCCACACCCGTCCCCACTACTCGCTACGCGCCACCCATATCACCGACACGCACACATGCGACGCTGACTGTGCTGTGCGTTACTGGTTATAGACAGCTTTATCCATGGTGTGCCGTACGTCATTTGTAATGCCGGTATGATGTTGGCTATACATACATATGTTACATGGGGCATATACATACAAGCTTTGATTCTTGCTGAACTAGTCAACATGACCCAAATGGGCTAACCCGGTTCTCTACACGCGTGTCTGCCGTAAGTCTGTACGTAACAGCTTTTGTTTATTGATGTCCTATCCCGGACCCATCGCGAAACTCCTGTTGGCGAAGTAGAAGACAGACAATGCGAGTGTGCTGAAGATAAAACAAAACAAACGTCAGCAGTTGCCCGTAGCAATTCCACAAAACGCGGTGACCAAAGTCAGCTACCATGAGTGGTTACCACCATAGCGATTATGTGTTGAGATCAACACACATGTGAATGCCGAACAAGCTCTAACTTCAACTCGTTCTTTGAGGTCTTTGGTTTAGCCTCTTGGCACATACTGCAGGAGAATCGCAGGCAGATCAGGGTGATCAGCCCTAATAACCTGCAAATGGCAGAAAGTTTCTCCAGGGCAGGGATCTGCAAGGTTCCTCTGATCTCCAGCATCGTTTGCTGAGCTACCATTGCTGTGTTCGGCTTGAGGTCCTCCCTCCTGCGCAGCGGTATCCCACCATGCCGTGCTGGGGACTGCACGGAAAGGGTACCGGCCCCGGCCACACCTGAGTGAGGCTGATGGACAAAGATGCACTTGAGACTCGAAAGCCGTCGGCACAGTTTCGAGCTCGCAAAACGGCGCCACTCTTAGAGAACTGCTGCCAAGTCTCGCCCGCTTGCTCGCCGTCATCGAACCTGTCCACATCTGTCGAGCATACCGCCCTGTGAAGAGCATCCGTAACAGCTTTTCTAAAATTGCCTGAAACCAGCTTGCGACGCCATCTGTTTCACATCCGCCTTGGCTACCTCCAGACTGAAACAGAACAGAGCGCGCAACTAGCTGCGATCCGCATTAGCTCGTCAATAGCCGGGATCATCATGATCATGTTGCAAGACTTGTGCGATGGACACGCCTTGCTTGACCGCGCTTTTCTCAGGCTCGCACCTCAATTGCCTGGAGAAGGTCTGCCACAGTTGTGCATTCCATGCGAAGTCCAGCAACAGCCTGTCTCAGGCTGTGCAGACTGCGGTCGAGCCCCCTCCCTTGCTTTCACTCGCGCAAGACATCCCACGAACCTTCGTAGAACCCAGAATTCGCTTAAGATCTGCGTTCGGACTGCTGTTGGAAGGTCTGCAAAAATGACATTCTGTCACTACCGGAACAGCTAGTACTGTCCGACTGATTCCAGATCAGTTGTGTGCCAAATGCGGCTCACATTAGCCGGTACTAGCCCCGAGAGGGAGGCCAATGGGTAGGCCAAGACTTCACTTGGCTGCTTTTGGCTCTGCAGGCAGCTAGCCAACAACAACACAAGGCTAAGTCGTGGTAAATGAACCATGTCCATGTGCAACCAAGCCTGCCAGACTCCATGAAAACTGACAAAGCAATGAACAAATACTTCAAGTGCTTCTGGGCTGCAATGCAGTCTCAGCAATCCCTCCAAAGTGGACTTCTGTGTGCCTGGTAGAGATGGGCCACCTCGAATGGAGAAGGTCGTTCATCTCCTGAGGACAATCGCTCATGAAGCCGGTGCGGGATCCGAGCCCTCTCTGTCAAGCAATGACCCTCGACCTGCGCGGGTTTGGGCCTGGCCGCGGTCTCTGCTCGAGGTCGGCTCTCTGTGAAATTCCGCTCCCCGCGTGGGCGCGCCAACTGGCGCGCCTCTGGGCGCCCGGCCGGGGGAGGCAAGTGCACCGGTGGCGGATACAAGGCAGGCGCCAATTCGTCCTGAGCAAAGCCTCTACTACGGGCAGCCCTTCAGTCCAATTCGCGCTAAGCTGGGAGGCTGAGGCTTCTGACGGGCGGAGCTCTCGGAGCAGCGCTCGCAAGGCCTCCCGCCATGCAAGCCATGCAAGCCATGTCACCCCTTTTAGTTGAAAGCTCTTCTGGCTCTCGCCTGGTGGTAACATCATGGGACCCGAAAGGCAGGCCTGGCTTTCCAAGAGTTTTGGAGAGAAAACGACAGAGAGTCTTTATGCCTTTTGCCGGCCGGACCGGCGGGATCTTCTTACCTTTGGCACTTCCACAGCCGCCTTCCTGAGATCCTGCCTCGGTGCTCGGTCTTCGGCTTCTTTTCAGAAAGGTGCCACGCGAAGCTGAGCACCTGCACGTCCGTTGCTGCCGTGACCACGACCTGATGCACCTCCGAGGTATGTGGGCAGTTGTCAAAATTATGGTCCCTTTTGGGGTACCCTCAATAATAGGTGCCGTATTATAATAAGGACCCAAAAGGGACCATCATTTTGACAACCACCCATATGTATCATCAAAACAAGAAGTCACGAGTGGAAACGGCATGACACCAACACTTCTGCTGCTCGCTGGCCTCTGCAGATTCCGCACTTTGGGCTTTCCGGAACCTGCCTGGCGAAAAGCGCAACATGTTGCGCTGGAGCATGGCTATCGTCCAGGCAGTCTGTGATCCAAACTCATCCCACCATGTCTGCGCACGCACAATTTCTCTCCCGCTGCCCTTGATCGTGGCCCCAACGAGATATCAACGGTCATGACTCACATCAACTTAAACGGCCTCCGTCAGCGTAGTGCATCTCCTTTTGTGCAGACTTTCACGATAAAGCAAACTCAGCTGCAGAGCTTCTAATCTAATGCTCCTCCAAGCTGTGAGCGTAAATGCAATTCTCTGCGGAGTACTTGCAGACGCCCTGCCGCACAACGCACGCAGCCAGAAAGACCGATCCGGATTCTTGCAGCTACTCTTAAACCCTTATCGACCCCAAGCCGCTGAGTTTTTGTTCAGATTCGTGGGGATTTCACAGAAATCCCACTTAGGGATCATCCAGGCCTGAAAGTTGAACATGCAAAACGTGGTCTTTCGCCGCGACTTCGCCTCCAACGAAAGCGAAGTCTGGAGGTTGAGGGTAAAGGGCCTTTAGGGTGTCGGGTTTAGGTTTAATTGTGAGTGCGTTTAGGGTTTAGGGGTTGGGGTTTACAGCCTCCTAGAACTTTCGAAACGGCCAGCATAACCCGCTTTGCTCTTCGGAGCCTTTGCGGCACGGCCGGAGCTCTGAGATGTAGCTCCCATCTCCCAGAGCCTGCGAAGGACATGAGGGCGCTACGACAGTGGTTCTATGACTCTTCGTGCTCTTACGAGCCGTTTCATCTTGGCACACACACACTCTCGCCCTCTCTCGCTGTACCATGCCACAAGTGGGCCTCACAAGCAACGACCCATTAGGCCGAATAGTTTGAGCCAGACCAGCCAGAACATCTCAATCTTGCTTCTCAAGTTGGAGAGCATCTCAAAAGCCACAAACCCCGAGTCCTCTGCTTTCCCTGCTCTGTCAGGTACATTGCCGAAATGGGGACAAGCTTCCAGCAGATGCAGCTGCCACTGCCAGCGGCATGCAGATTCTGCCCAGAAGCGAGCATGCATGAATTGAGCGCCTTGGCTCGCTGTTCAACTCTGGACTGGAGAGGCACTGGCTCTGGGGCTCTGTGCTCTCTGAAACACATGCCTGGCCTTCTGGCCTCGCATCGCGTTGCGCAGGAAAACACAGGTGCAGCAGGAAGAGGCATGCGCGCAACCTTCGGTTCACGATGGATTTCGGGCCCCCTGGCCAGCTCCAACAAAACGAACTGGCGGCGAGTGGAGTTGCACGCAAGCGTCTTTGCTGAAAGCACAGGGTGCCTGCAAGCTTCTTTGAATTAAACTCTGGGCCTAGGCCTGCGGGCTGGCGCCAGAAGCTGCACAGCTCCGATCATTGCAACACACATCTCTTGTCCTCGTCATCCGAGTCCCCATCGGACACGACCTGGCTCATGTCTCACATACCACTACGTGGTTCGGTCCAGGCTGTCGCGCAGATTTCAAGACACACTGCAGGAAGCCGTCCAGTCAGCCCACAACAAGAAAACACTCCTTTCCCCGGCACAGCACCGTCGAACAGAGGCCGCGCTCGCCTGCAATGCAAGCGATCTCTCAGAGCGACCTTGTGGGTGGTGGAGCCACTTGCATGGCTAGTGCAGTACTCGGATGCTCTGGGCTTCGTTCTGTGTGTCCTACACTGTTTTACATTATGTGCTGGTTCGCATGAACGAATCCGTGCGTCCAGAACTATTTAGATCCACCTCTCACTCGAGGTCCGAGATGCCGCCCAAGCAATAATGAAGAGCGACCAGCCTTTCTCCTGGCTGATGTCCAGCTCATATTCGCTTCCGCTGTCCTGAAAGCCACCAAGCTTCCAAAACCCGGAGACTTACCCGGATGTGCTCCGAAACCTAAGGCAAAGCCACTTTCTATCACTCGTCTCTCAAGATGTCCCAGTTTGCCCCCTGCTCCCTTTTTGCAAGTTTGTGTGAGCACACATTTCTTGCGCCGTTTGGCAGCAAGATCGCTGCGGCATTTGGTGCCTCATGCCGATAAAAGGAGCCCAGTGCTAGTTGGACTCTGCACGTGTCCGTCCCAGCCCCTTTCGGTGGTGCTCCAAACTGCGTTGCTCGCTCTGCTGCTTACTCTGCAGGCTACAGAGGCTGCCTTGCTCCGGAGACTTGTGCGTGGCTGCTGCTGGAAATCGAGTCGGAGTCGCAGACACACTTCCACACGCCTGACGCTGACACCGACAACCCAACTTTGAATCTCGCCCCAAGCCTTGCCGAAACCCGTGACTAGTCGTCTGTCTCCTGATACTCGGTGTGACTAAGCTGCCCATCCCTTTCCAGGTTCATTGGTTGCTCTTCAGCACTCGTAGACACTTGGTCTTCTTGAGCCGAGCAGCATCGCCGAAGCGGCAGGAGCGGCACGCCATGTTCTCAGTGGCAACATGGCCGATTGCCACAAGCCAAGACCTATCTGATAGATTTTCCTGACACCCTGAGCTCGTGGCATCCATCCCTCCACCTGAGCATCGAAAAGTGGTCATCTAGAAGCGACTCACCTTGATTCGAAACGAATTGGGGTCCTGCTACGCCCAATTTCAGCCTTCCGCCTTTCCTGGAAACCCCGTGTGAGGATGCATAGTATCTGCATAGTGCTTCACATCTTGGTGCAGGTCAGGCAAAGTGATTGCAAAAGTGCCCCGAACAGGCAGTGCTTGCACCGCTGCGCTCGCTGAAGCTTGTCACCATTTGCCATACAGCTTTTCATTATACCTCACCGATCTAGTCCAGAGAAGGCCTAGGCACGCACCCATTCGACTCATCCGTCACCCTACAGTGCACAGATCCACTGGGAGTGTTTGCGAAGATCGGTGGCGGTGTCGTCGAGTCGAGCAACAAGCTCCCTCCGGTCCACAGTCTCTGACTGGGCTCCTGGCAAGAGACTAATCCTCTCCACTGGTGCTGCTTCCGCACCTGTTCAAGGCGGAAACAGCCGACATCAATATCCTCGGCTTGCTAACCTTGTCTTTTTCGGTGTGTCGCGAGGCACGAATCCCTAGACCCGTGTCTCCGCTTTGCCAACCCCCGAAAGACTAGGGGGGATGCATAATGTCAGATATCCGCATGAAAATGGCACACCCAAAAACCATGCAGGCGAGCACCCCTTTTTGCATGGTGGATAGGTGTGGCTGCCGACTCCCAGAGAATCCTTTCGGTCGAGTACCTAGCAGTAAACTCCAAAACCTGGCCGTAGCCAAAGGAGGGTCCCCTCCCTCAGGGCCCACGGCACCTGGGGTTCGAGGACCCTCTTCCGAATCGGAAACAGGCTCCAAAATTTGTGCCGTCCATAAGAAGCCTGTACAGGAGGCAGCCACAGCCTCACCGGGTGCCCTGCACCGGCCCATGGGTGAGGTCGGTTGGCTCATCAAAGATCCGATCTTCAAGAATAGAACGAACGAGCGAAAAATGCTTGAGCACGGGTTTCACCGGCAAGCGAAGAGAGGGTGTGAAACCATGGAAATTCGGATGGGTCAGCTCATCTGCCCACGTATTGAAGTCCCTCTTAATGTGCGACGGCGCGAGCTGCATGCCGTGCACGTGCAACTGAAGCAGGATCTCCATGAGGATGACCGAGGTGGGCATCTTCTTGGATTTATCATTGAGGAGTGAGTACGCGTTCCCTTGGTTGTCGCTGACCAGGGGAATCCTGAGGTTCGGGATGAACGTTGGCGCCTTCTCCATGAGAAAGTGGGCAAGAACCAGGGTGCCGAACATCTCTAAGGCCGCGATGCGCTTCTTCGGGCATCCCTTATCGAAGGCCCAGGTAATGGAACCAGAAGACGTCCGACTTGTTGGGGGAGGCCGTGTTGGAGAGCCAGCCGCCCACAAAGGCACTGCCATCATCAGAGGCACTAGCATCACTAGCCCCTGACCAAATGGCAAGCGGTGCGTACGGCGAAGCTTGCCGGAACTTTTGATCGAAAAGAGAGAGCAAGAGAGCAGAGAATGCACGGATCAGCTTTCCCGGTCGTCCTGCTGTCAAGCAGGCCTTCTTCCAAGCCCAGAAGGGCTGGAGGAAGGGTTTAGTGCGGGGACAAGCCGTTGTCGCCCACTGCAGTCTACCCAAGGCACTGGCAATCTGAGATGCCGACATGACCTTACCACTCTTAAGTTCTTCCAGGATGCCCACTACAAGCAGATGCTTGTCACGGGCCATCTGCACACAGGGACCCTTGGGGTCGATGACGAAACCCAACCAGGTGTTGACCTCGGCAAGTAACGTTTTCTTCCAGCTTAGGGGGGTACCCAATGCAAGCAGCAATAGACACAGAGAGGTAGCCAGCAGGGAGGAGCTGGACTTGCGAAGCAACCAAGCAAAGTCGTCTACGAACACAAAACCCCAGTCAACTTCAGGGAAAACCGCGTAGGCAATCCTCAAAAGGATGGCTGCCATGCGGCCCCAGTAGAGCTGAGCACTTGCCGTGCACACCAAGCTGGGCAACCTGATAGCGCCATTCACGGAGGAGAACCTTAATGCGCCTATGCGCCTTGGTGACATCAGCCATTCCTCCGTGGGACTTGGGAACTGCCAAGGCCAGCCAGCTGCGAGCTTGCGCCAGGTAGCGATCAGGGGAGTCCACCAGTCCTTGCCTGAGAAGGAATACTTGGGGCAGATGAGGGGGACCGGCTTCTTCTTGACCGTCACCGCCGAGTGGGTCTTTGTCTGCCAAGCTGCCAGCTCCACCGTGGCGGAGGTGACCTTAAGGGTGTCCGGGTTAGTGTGCTGAAGGTCACTGAAGCGAGCACTGGTCCCAAGCGGAAACCTGACGATGCCACAGATGAAGGAGTCCATCAAATGGATCCTAGAATCGGGTTCTGAAGGGGGCCTGGCCGCCGTTTCCTCCAACTGGATCACAAATGCCTTGGAGGGAACAAGGGCCTTTCTCATTGGACGGTGCACCGTGCTGACGAGAGTCTCCGAGAGGGACTTCTTCTTCTCTGTGAGCCTAAAGATTTCGTCAATGGCGAGCAGACTGAACCACTTGAGAGTGTCCCAAACCTGTTGGAGCTTGTGAGGCGAGACTTCACGATCCCTGAGAGTGTTGAGAAGGACGCGAACGTCCGACTCCTTCCAAGGTATTGCAGTGAAGCCAAGGCGCCTGAGTTCCTCATAGGAGAGGCAGCGCATCCTGAGGGTGCGGAATACCTCGCATCACCTAATTAGAAGGTCCATGAATTCCCCTTTTAGTTCCAATGATATAACGGTGGTACCAGAGGGCATCATGGCAGCCATGTGCGGAATCTGGCTGGCCACCGGGAGGAGGAAGGAGAGGAGACGTTCTCCCCATTTCTCCCTGAGGCCCCTCTCCAAGGCCCGCTGGTTGATAACATTGCGCCCCGAAACCTTCCCCGGTTTCCAGTGTCGCCAACGGCTAACTGCGCAAGGGGTGAGCAAAATCCCTTCCCGAAGACGATTCCAGGCGGTGCGGTCTCGTTCCGCGCGACGTAGAATGACCTCGGGCAAAAGGTGGGAAGGAGTTCCTTCCGAGGCCTTAACACACAAATCTCATAGGGAGGAAAGGAGGAGTTGTGTATCCTGCTCCTCCTCCTTCGGGCCTGCCGTTAAAGACAGTGCCTTTTCCACGATAGCCTGGAAGACCTTGGTGGGTCGGTAAGAAAGAACCACCACACGGGGTTTCCCATCAGGGACCCCGAAGGTGCGATCGATTTCCTGTCGGGGCCTGCAACGGGCCATGTGAAGTCGACAATTGTCTGGCCCCCGGGCGCTCCACATCCACTTGTTCCTCTTCAAAGGAACGGCCCGAGCCACGTAGGATCGGGTCCAAGAGTACCCCGGCCAAGATTTCACCATCGGACTGTAAAGGTCCTATGGAATGCTCACAAAGCACCGAAATCAAATGATCAGGTGCCCGAACCAGTGCTCGCCCAAAG